AAACTTCATGTGACACGAATTTCGAATTTATTTTCACATATAGAAAATCAATTGATGTGACATGTCCTGTGACTATTTCTTACTAATGAGGTCGTTCACCGAATCAAAGAAATCCATGAAAAAGTTGTTGCAAAAAAATTAGAAACTATTCCCTTGTCTTCCTTTAATACAACTAATTGGCAAGCATTTTCTCTCAAAACTGATGTCAAAATAAAATGGATTATTAATGACTCATTAGATGAAACTGTTGACATCGAGGAATATGTTTGGAGTGATTATCCTGAAAGTCATGAAACACAACGTAAAAATTATATGTCTTATCTCAAAAGGCATATCAACTTATTACCACAAATTTCGATCCTTGACGTTGCAACAAATAAGACATTTCTTCAATTATATAATGACCCTCGTTTACCATTTAATTTATCTGGTGGCACAGACGTTATTTTGTTTGAGACTGCGGCTGAAACTCTTCCCCAAACTGGAATTCGAAGTGTAATTGAATTGGTAAGGTATATTTGTATTGAGTTTATTCTAAATGTTGCGATCTCTTACCTATCAGTATTTTTTTAAAAAATATTTACTAGAAAAAGCAAGTGCAACCAGTCGATGTGTATCAAGTAGTAATGCAGATGATAATCGCAGATATAATCACTCCAAATCATATTTCTGCTATTGGCATACTAACTGACCTAAAAGACAATTGGAACGTATTTTGGCTTAATGAGAAAGAAGTGATTGGTACTAAGTTTACACAACGAAAATCAGCAATTAAATTTATTGAATCAATGATTTTGGAAGAAGAGTGGGCTACAAAAAAAAGGTATTTACCTTTCTCGGATAACACGACAATAAAAAGGATGAAATTTGATAATATGATCGAAAAAAAAAGATGAGTTTTTAAGAGTAGTACTTTTTATTCATATCAAAATAAGGAAACAGAATATTATTAATAAGAATTTGAAATTAATTTTTTTTACTTGGATTAATTTCGAATTATACATTTTTTTAATTAATAATTATTTAATTAACAATTATTATAAAGACGTGAAAAAAATATCAATTTGGAATAGAACATTTTTTGTTCAATATATTTCAAAAATTTTAACTATTGCATATTATTTATTTATTTGTCAAAAAATTATGATCTTTTTTTATTCTACCTAATTTATCATTATTACTAAGTTTAACTAATAAAAATATATAAATCATTTACATTAATTTAACACATATTCTTATTTAGTTCTTATATTATCTGTTATAAAAAGCTCACACAAATACTCAGTTAAATCTTGCTTATTTGTCAAACGCACTAACCCACATCTTTCCAAGAAGGAAATCTTCTACATGAATAATGCAACAAATTGCAACTTGCAGATTGCAATGCAGTTGGAATTTTGCAAACTACAAATTCCAAAAGCTTGTCCATGAAACTTTTGGAGACTGAATTTTTGGAGAAGGATGAGAGCAAAATTGAAATGCGAAACATTGTGGCGAACAAATTTTTTTTTTTGTGTGTTGACACGATTCGTCAAATGATCATCAAAACGTTTCTCTTTTATTTTTATTTGACCAATTGAACTTGTTTTTTTTTTAAATGAGGGATTTTGCCCATATAACCCACTCTATGATAGAGGATTGTAGCTCAATGAGAGCATGTATCTTACAAGGAATAACCCTAATGAAAGAAGTTTTCCCCATTGCTGAGATTGAATATTGATGATAATCATGTGATTATTGAAAACACAGTAAAAAATTTTGGTCCAGAGAAAATTTATGTAATGCCTGATTATAAACATAGTCGACATATTCAAGCTCCCAATATCTACCACCTTAAAAATACTGTCTCAGATTTAAAAGATGAAGATTTTTCCAACACTGCTGATAAATATAAGAACATTATTTCAAAGAATAAAGGAAATTATAATGATAAATCAGATTATGAATAGCAGGTATAACTTTTTTAGGTTTTGTAATTATGTATTAAAAGAATTAAAAGAAAAAAATAAATCAATATTGTAACAATTAGATTATTTTTCTCCTAAGGATTTTTGCCTTTGTTAGGCAATAGCATACTTTCATGCTGCTTTCTTTTTCCAACATTTATTATTTTTCTTTCTTCATGGTAAATTTCATAAGTAATCCTTTCTTTTCTTAGATAAGTTTCCAGTGTTTGAGTATCATTTATTTTGAAAATGTAAGGAGCAATTTTCTCACCTTGTTCTTTTTTCAAAATACTTCTAATGGTGCTGTAATTCTTAGGTTCCATGGTAGATCTGATGTAAATGAGTTTCATATTAACTATTCTTATATAGGGATAGTTCTATATATCACTTAAGATAACAAATGGGATATTATAAAACTGTTAATTATGATCACATTACAAATGACTAAATTTTGATCCCTGAAATTCTTGGTAATACCAATGTTCACTTTGTCTGGTTTTGTTGCATATATAAAAATACACAAATAACAATCACGTGATTAATTTTCTAAAAATTGTTTTTTTATTGAAATTTTTTAATGATTGTTGGCTTCTTTTCTTCTTCAATATATAGTACACCATCTTCTTTCCATAACAGAACTTGCTCTATAGGACTGCGGATCATCAATTAATTATCTGCCATCAACAATTCGTAATTCATTTAAAACATTTGATTTCGAATTCAGTTAAAACTTTATATTGCCCTCATTGTTTTCAGATTCCAAAGACAATAATAAAAATTTACTATAACCAACTCAAAGTCCTAGATAAACTTACCTCGATGTTATTGAACTTCTTGATTCTTTCAATTGTTGTCCTTTGTCAAGAATTTCGTCATCTATATTTTCACTTACCGCTCCATAGATTTAATGATTGTACTATATACACTGCCACGTAGCTGAAAATTTATTTTATGTAAAGTTCCTTAAGACTACTAGAACCGTTTATACCAGGTTCTATCGAGGCTTTGCCATTGTCAGAAATGAAGATGAATTCCATGTTTTTTGCAATTATGATGTCACGACGAATATTTAAAATTCGCATTTGAACAGTCTTTTTGCTTCTTAAGCAGAAAATCAGAATTGGAAGGTTTTGTCAGAAACAAATTCATATTCATATCCGATCTAAACAATCTTTGTTATTATATAATTATTATAAGTAGTATGCAGTAATATATTTCACCTGGTTTAACGAATGTCTGGAAGAGAAGAGAAGAATAACTATGCAAATATGGTTTGCAATTTGTAATCAGGTATTACTCTGTGTTTCCTTGTCAATATGTAGGGCATTGCGAGCCGAGTCAGGCCGAGCTCGAGCCAATTCGAAATTTAATATTTGCAGGACCACTGAAAATAATCGATGAATTGTATGACATAATCGAATTTTAGAACATTTAAATCATCATCAATAATTTTATGAGACTAAAAAATTTCAAATATTAATAAAAGCACTTTTAGATTCTGAAATAAACAGATATTTAAAAAAAACCGTTTAAACAATCTTTATTATTGTTGAGTTGGACTAGAGTTTCTATTCGTAATAGTAATACAAATTTTATTCGAAAGTTGAGCGAGCTCGGGATTTTCAAGAAAATAGGCTCTTAAATTGTTTTTAGGTAATGGATTGCACAAATATAATAAAAAATATTATGAAATAGTAGAATTAATCTAATTTTATGTAACATCAAATTCGAGTCTTCGGAGCTTTAGACAATAAATAATTCAGTCACATTCGACGACTAGAGTCAAAAGTTTCGTCACACAATTATTAGTCAAGTATTTTTATTTAGTCGACATTCCTCACTTTAATCAATGCTTTTGATTTGATCAAAGGCAATGACAAAACTTTGGACTTCAGTCATTAACGTGACTAAAATATTTTGTTATTTGACGATTACAAATTCCTAATGGTTAAAGTAATATAGTTATTTAGTAATTAAAATTAAAAATGATACCTTTTTTTGAAGGAGTTTTGCAATCATGTTTTAATATCCGCTTCATCGCCACTATCATTATAATTATTAATTATTGAAACCCCGTTTTGTATTGAATTAACCCAAATATTCAATATAATATTGGAAATTCTAATTACTTCTCTTCCCACCATTATTTTATTATCTATCTCAAGATATATTTCAATCTCTTCATCTGGTACAGTAACAAGATTATATTATTAACTGCTGGCGGTAACGATTATAAAACAGTAAACTTATTTATAAATGACTATTTATCTAATAGAAAATCTGGTATGAATAGATGTAATTAATAATGACTAGATATAAAAATGTTTATTTGTTTATCTGTTTTAGTGTCAAAATAAAAATTAATGAATTAGATTTTAAGTAACGATTTATTAGATTTATTTATTATTTTATTTTTATTTATTAAGAAGCTGCATAAAAATCATAGCTCATTCTTATATTGGTGTTAAATTATTATTAACTAACATCCAATAAAAATTTCAAGGCTTGGTTTTTCTAACAAACAAATTGTTTATAATACTAATTAAAATGAAACCAGTAATTTTCACTTCTTTTTCTTGTCAATTATTTTCAAATAATACTTCTCCTTTTTCTTAACTGCTTTCATCAGCATCTCCAATATCATTGTTTCTTTGCATCGTAATCAATTCTTCATTTTTCATAATATATTGATTGCATCCTTTAACCAATTGATTTGCCCTGTAATATTCTGCCCATTGCTTGATTTCTATAACATTATTGGGCTCAATATAATGACCAGTTAAAATCTTTTCTTCTAACCTTTCTTTTAACGCATCAATAAAATACATATCAGAATATTTTAAAATTCCAAGTAATAATTTCAAGTAATAACTTTCATAATCATCAACTTCTGTCTTTTTTTTCGCAAGCTCGTCGATCAATTCATCTAATGATTGTCCATACAACCATCTTAAAAATATTTTAAACCCTTCAGGTTTTATATCCGTCAATTCAACATAAACCTTTTGGAACTCTATTGATTCTTTTGAGCCGCCACAAAACATACTTTTGAAGTGATCAGACGCAGCTAAAAAATAAAAGAAGTTTATTTATAACTTATAAATTAATATATAATAATATTCATAATAATAAAATCTTTACCAGATAAAACATATCTATTTGCACCAATTTCTTCCATTTTATTAGTTTCTTCATCTCCAACTTTAAATATCACATCATGATGATGAGTATCCGGATATCCAGCTAAACTATCAAATAACCCATTTAATAACTTTTCTCGTTGAGAATATTCACCGACTTTTACATCAGGCTCGATATCATTCAATTCTTTTGCACCAGAAGCCTTTAACAATCTTTTATATGGTTCCAGATTTGGTTTAACTTTGCATAAATTGTTATTGATGTCCTCTCGAATGCCAAATACAAGTTGATTACCACTTTTCCAACTATTTGTAAAGGGATTCTCACTATTTAAAAATACAGGCTCATCTGTTTGGAAAGTTTCTTGAAGTTCGTCATCACTTATAGTTTCTAAACAATCATTTAAATAGGTATATATTTCCTTTATAGATTTTAATATATGTTTATCCGCATATTGTGATATCCAATCTTTGTTATCTTCCCGTGACTTTAATGACAAATGACATAAATGATTAAATATTTGTCGGAATTTTGGGAAACCTAATTTAGAAATAGAAAATGAGCTCGGTGGTTCAATAATTGGATCAATCAGACAAACTTGGGTCCAACATAAATCACGATGTCTTTGAAAACATATAGAATTGAGTGATTCATAATATATATCACTTTTTACAGTTTCTTTATATGGGAAATCTAGATTTTTTGCTACTGGAACAAATTTAATATTTAAAAAACGATTGAGTTGATCCCTTCTTAGTAAATCTGTATTGTGATAAAAATATTTTAAAAGATCTTCAGCCTTTTGTTTAACAACATTAAATGGAGTGTCTTCATATTGGATATTTCTAAGGATTTCCTCAGCACACTCTACTAACGATTCACCATTAACACTATTTCTAAAATCCATTCTTCTTAAAACGTTCAAACATTGCAGATGATTTTGCAATTCATCAGGTAAAAATCTGTTTGATTCTCTAAAAATTGACCTAAATAATGGCACATTCTCGTTATACAATTCATTTGCTTTACGATATTCGGATAATGTCTTGTTCGGAATTCCTGATTGTTTATATCTGAAATAATCTTCAATCCTTGGGTCATTTAACAATAAAACATTTATTAACAATTGAACACAATCTTGATCTGGTATGTCTGGAATGCATGGTAATAAATCTTGCGTCAAAAAATCGTAGGAATCCTTTATGGTATTAAAAAAAGTATTAAATGAAAAAGAAATAAAACAAAAAGGAATCTGATGAGGAACCGACTTCTGATACTTACAACAACCTTGGCACCCAATTCAACTAAAATGCTATATTCATGATCACTTTCTGTCAAAAAATAATTAGTGTCAACCTGGAAAGAAACATTTTGAAAAGTTTTTGGTAATAATAAACCATCTACAACCGCAACATAATTATGTTTAATTGATGAATGCACTGGCCAAATTTGCAATTGGTCAAGGATAGGTTTAAAGGTTCTTTCTTTTTTTGTTGATTTTCCATCTAAAAAAATAATAATTTTTTATTGTTAAAATTATTAAAAAAAAAAAGCCAAAAATTTATTAAACTTACATAAATTAAAATGTTTTTTGACAAATAATCTTATCACTTCTATGTCTTTGTCAGACAAATCAGCTTGTGCAAATAATCCTTTAATTTCTAAATGGGATATATTGGCTACATTTTCAATCGCTTTAAGAACATTTGTAAAGTTCCATTCAACAACGAAATGTTGAAGATTTGGATTTGCAAATTTAGGGAAAGCCATGTCAGTAAAACGAACTTTTAATTTCGTCAGAACTTTAAAGACCAAATCTTCTTCATTATCTATTAATAATAATGGATATTCAGTGTTTGGTAAGACAAGTTGGCGGCTTGGATGGGTCATTGGGAGTAGAGGATACGATTTGAATTTTGAATAATCATAATCGGTAAACATTAAATTTTTCCATATACGGTCAAGCCATGTACGATTTGGTATGGAATCAGATTCCGGATCCCAGTGAAAATCTCTACCAGGCAATTCATAGCCTATAAGATCTAAAATCGCGTTTGCATCTACTTCATTAATTTTCAATGTTTTTGAGAATTCCGCTTCAAGAAAAATCTTTTTGAGTTTACTTGGTAAGTTACTACAAATGAATTTTGAATTGGAATACGCGCTTGGGAATAAATATTTACATTCTCCATTTTGATCGATAAAATATGAACTTTCTCCAAAGTCGCCCACATCGTCATTACATAACGGAACCAAAGGTAATTTCAATAATTTTTCATATGATTTTGCCTTCGTAATAAGGATGAAATTTAAAAATTTGAATATCTTTTGATGATCTAATAGATTTTTGTCTACATGTTTCAACAAATCGCAAACCATATCTGCGTCAAAAAGCTGGTGATCAAATTTCATTCCAAATCTCATTGTAAAATGTTTCAACTTTTTCTCTTCCAATTTAACAACTGGAGTCCCTATTTGTGTAAAAAGATGTATATCAATATCTTCTTTATCGTCGAAAAGTAATGCTTCTGCAGCACCGACAAATTTGCCACCATTTGCTTCTGTCCAAAAAATTTTACTATTTTTTGCAATTAATTTTCGTAATACTTTTAAACCATATTGTTTGTATATTGTGTCTATTCTAAAATTAGCATCATTATTAATAACAGGCCAAAAATGTGTGGTAGTATAGACATTAAAATTACTTGTATCACCCTTGAGTTCTATGAATCTTTTATGATCTCTTTTTGCAATATCTTCTAATAATTTAACATGTAAAGTAGGTAATATTTCTTGTAAAATGTGTTGATTCCATCTATGAATTTTTTCTTCTGAATCTCCATATTGTGTCGATTTATTATTATCAAATTGTAGAATACTACTTCGATCATTAGACACTAAAAATTCACCATTTAAGTGCACATTCAAATTTGTCTTAATTGGAAGTGGCAAATATACGTAAATATCTCCTTCGAGTTTCGGTGGTTCCAAATGAATACCGTTATGCATTTTATCTAATGGTTCGTATGCTTGAGCCCAAAAAATCGCAACACCACCTCTAGGTTTCAAGCCTTCACCGGTTGAAAGATTTTGTAAATCCATATCCAATGTCTTTTGTTCTTCGCCGTTGCAAATTAACCATTTTTCAGAACTTGTCACAGTATCTTCACATTCATAAACATTACTCTCTATTTCTATACATAGTTCAAAAGGTCTTGCATGATTAATATTGATAAAGGTACTTCGAATAGATCCCAAATCAATGGGAAGACGTATATTTGCTTTCCAGATTAAAATTGGATTATCAACATCGTCATCATCGTCTGTGATTCTATGCACACTAAAAGATTTAATGTTTTTTAAAAAAATCATTTCTCGGCTTCCTTCAATTTTAGATAATAATTCAACTATTGAATCAGGTCCTTCTACTTTATTTGATATTTTACTCATATCAGCTAATCTTTGTGTTCTAAACGGGAGTCTGAACAGAGTTCCATCAAATTCTTTTGTAAAATCACAATTTTTAATTCCTTTATATGGTAGTAATTGATCTTGGAAATGAGTGCCGAAGCTTTTTTCAAGAAACTTTAATATATTTCCACGCTGACGTGTTGGTGGATGGCCTATAGCTGGTAGGAATTTAGAATGTGGATCTAAAAAGGCGATATATTTACCACTGACAAAACTTGGACAATCTGTAATATGATATGCACAATTGAATCCAAGGCCAAATCGTCCTATTTTACTATGATCCTTTTTTTTACCACCAACACCAAGCTCTAAAAATGATTGAAAATCTTCCTTTGTAAATTTCGCATTATTATAAATCCAAAGAGCAGGACCTTGCCAATCGTACATTTCTGGTGATATTAGTTTTGGATTATTTCCAGGATTCACTGACCTGAAATCACGATCATCCACAAAAACACAAAATTCAGTCGCTTTTGCATCATCAGCATTCTAATAAAAAAAGCAAATAATAATGAGTGGTCATTAGTAGTAGCAATAATAATAATAATAATGGTTAATAATGGTTAATAAAAAAACCTGTAAAAACTCTTTAAATAAAAGGTTTATCGGGTAACTCTGGAAAAGAAAAAGAGTATTAAATATAAAAATATATAACAAATATAGATATTATTAATATTTATAAAATATTATTAAAAATACTGACTTCAATAATATTTTTTAATCTAACTGTTAAAGGCTCACTTTGTTCAAATGATTTAAAAGGAAGATTCACTGATTCGATGAAAACTTCATTGAGCATTTTTAATCTTAATTTTTTTGCCATATCTAATGAGATTCTTGGATGTGCACTTTTATCATTGTCTTTATCAGCTTCAGGCATATTATCAAACTGAACGACATTGATATCAACAAGTTTGATATTTGTATTTGGAATCAATAAACCATCTAATAAATTTTTATCAAAAAGAAAGTGTCAATTGTTTACTTTTCTTGAAATACATCGAAACCATTTCTTTCTATGAATTTAAAAAAGGTGCTGTGAAACCTGACTTGTTATACAAAATC